ACGGTCTCTGCCTTGGGGTACAGTGGTGCACGGCCTCTGTCTTGGGGTACAGTGGTGCACGGCCTCTGCCTTGAGGTACAGTGGTGCACAGACTCTGTCTTGGGGTACAGTGGTGCACGGCCTCTGTCTTGGGGTACAGTGGAGCACGGCCTCTGTCTTGGGGTACAGTGGTGCACAGACTCTGTCTTGGGTACAGTGGTGCACGGTCTCTGTCTTGGGGTACAGTGGTGCACGGTCTCTGTCTTGGGTACAGTGGTGCACGGTCTCTGTCTTGGGGTACAGTGGTGCACGGTCTCTGTCTTGGGTACAGTGGTGCACGGTCTCTGTCTTGGGGTACAGTGGTGCACGGGCTCTGCCTTGGGGTACAGTGGTGCACGGCCTCTGCCTTGAGGTACAGTGGTGCACAGACTCTGTCTTGGGGTACAGTGGAGCACGGCCTCTGTCTTGGGGTACAGTGGTGCACAGACTCTGTCTTGGGTACAGTGGTGCACGGTCTCTGTCTTGGGGTACAGTGGTGCACGGGCTCTGCCTTGGGGTACAGTGGTGCACGGTCTCTGCCTTGAGGTGCAGTGGTGCACGGTCTCTGCCTTGAGGTATAGTGGTGCACGGACTCTGTCTTGGGGTACAGTGGTGCACGGTCTCTGCCTTGGGGTACAGTGGTGCAAGGTCTCTGTCTTGGGGTACAGTGGTGCACGGTCTCTGTCTTGAGGTACAGTGGTGCACGGTCTCTGTCTTGGGGTACAGTGGTGCAAGGTCTCTGTCTTGGGGTACAGTGGTGCACAGACTCTGTCTTGGGGTACAGTGGTGCAAGGTCTCTGTCTTGGGGTACAGTGGTGCACAGACTCTGTCTTGGGGTACAGTGGTGCACGGTCTCTGTCTTGGGGTACAGTGGTGCACGGTCTCTGCCTTGGAGTACAGTGGTGCACGGTCTCTGTCTTGAGGTACAGTGGTGCACGGTCTCTGCCTTGAGGTATAGTGGTGCACGGTCTCTGTCTTGGGGTACAGTGGTGCACGGCCTCTGTCTTGGGGTACAGTGGTTCACGGACTCTGCCTTGAGGTACAGTGGTGCACGGACTCTGCCTTGAGGTACAGTGGTGCACGGCCTCTGTCTTGGGGTACAGTGGTGCACGGCCTCTGTCTTGGGGTACAGTGGTGCACGGCCTCTGTCTTGGGGTACAGTGGTGCACGGACTCTGTCTTGGGGTACAGTGGTGCACGGGCTCTGCCTTGGGGTACAGTGGTGCACGGTCTCTGTCTTGGGGTACAGTGGTGCAAGGTCTCTGTCTTGTGGTACAGTGGTGCACGGACTCTGTCTTGGGGTACAGTGGTGCACGGACTCTGCCTTGAGGTACAGTGGTGCACGGACTCTGTCTTGGGGTACAGTGGTGCACGGTCTCTGCCTTGGGGTACAGTGGTGCAAGGTCTCTGTCTTGGGGTACAGTGGTGCACGGTCTCTGTCTTGAGGTACAGTGGTGCACGGTCTCTGTCTTGGGGTACAGTGGTGCAAGGTCTCTGTCTTGGGGTACAGTGGTGCACAAACTCTGTCTTGGGGTACAGTGGTGCAAGGTCTCTGTCTTGGGGTACAGTGGTGCACAGACTCTGTCTTGGGGTACAGTGGTGCACGGTCTCTGTCTTGGGGTACAGTGGTGCACGGTCTCTGCCTTGGAGTACAGTGGTGCACGGTCTCTGTCTTGAGGTACAGTGGTGCACGGTCTCTGCCTTGGGGTACAGTGGTGCACGGTCTCTGTCTTGGGGTACACTGGTGCAAGGTCTCTGTCTTGTGGTACAGTCGTGCAAAGTCTCTGTCTTGAGGTACAGTGGTGCAGGTCTCTGCCTTGGGGTACAGTGGTGCAGGGGCTCTGCCTTGAGGTACAGTGGTGCACGGTCTCTGCCTTGGGGTACAGTGGTGCACGGACTCTGTCTTGGGGTACAGTGGTGCACGGTCTCTGCCTTTGGGTACAGTGGTGCACGGTCTCTGCCTTTGGGTACAGTGGTGCACGGACTCTGTCTTGGGGTACAGTGGTGCACGGACTCTGTCTTGGGGTACAGTGGTGCACGGACTCTGTCTTGGGGTACAGTCCACGTAGTGTAAATGATAGACATTTTGAGTGTTATTGTTGTGAATGACTGTATTGATGTTCATTAGTATTAGTTCACCATGCGGTCAGAGAGAGGTATAGACCCGTGGATACGGACAGACACATACACACAAATGACTATAAACAAACGCGAACAGACCCATAGCAACAAACATGTAGAAACCTATGGCTATGTGAGCAGAGACATGCACACCCGTAGTTATGTAGACACATATATAGACCCATGGCTACGGACAGACTATACACAGACCCATGGCTACGTACAGATATACACAGACCCATGGCTACGGACACACTATACACAGACCCATGGCTACGGACAGACATACACAGACCCATGGCTACGGACACACTATACACAGACCCATGGCTACGGACACACTATACACAGACCCATGGCTACGGACACACTATACACAGACCCATGGCTACGGACACACTATACACAGACCCATGGCTACGGACACACTATACACAGACCCATGGCTACGGACAGACATACACAGACCTATGGCTACGGAGAGACATACACAGACCCATGGCTACGGACAGATATACACAGACCCATGGCTACGGACAGATATACACAGGCCCATGGCTACGGACAGACATACACAGACCTATGGCTACGGAGAGACATACACAGACCCATGGCTACGGACAGACTATACACAGACCCATGGCTACGGACAGACATACACAGACCCATGGCTACAGATAGACATACACAGATCCATGGCTACAGACAGACATACACAGACCCATGGCTACAGACAGACATACACAGACCTATGGCTACAGACAGACATACACAGACCCATGACTACAGAGAGACATACACAGACCTATGGCTACGGACAGACATACACAGACCCATGGCTACGGACAGACATACACAGACCCATGGCTACGGACAGACATACACAGACCTATGGCTACAGACAGACATACACAGACCCATGGCTACAGAGAGACATACACAGACCTATGGCTACCGAAAGACATACACAGACCCATGGCTACGGACAGACACACACAGACCTATGGCTACAGACAGACATACACAGATCCATGGCTACGGACAGACATACACAGACCTATGGCTACAGACAGACATACACAGACCCATGGCTACGGACAGACATACACAGACCCATGGCTACAGACAGACATACACAGACCCATGGCTACAGACAGACATACACAGACCCATGGCTACAGACAGACATACACAGACCCATGGCTACAGACAGACATACACAGACCCATGGCTACAGACAGACATACACAGACCCATGGCTACAGACAGACATACACAGATCCATGGCTACAGACAGACATACACAGACCCATGGCTACAGACAGACATACACAGACCCATGGCTACAGACAGACATACACAGACCCATGGCTACGGACAGACTATACACAGACCCATGGCTACAGACAGACATACACAGACCCATGGCTACGGACAGACATACACAGACCCATGGCTACAGACAGACATACACTATACACAGTGCTGCAGCATGGTTCACCTATGGAGCCACTGTCAACCTGACAGACACTGTTCAGTATGCAAACCAAACACTAGAAAACGTTGATGAACCTCCAATTAGATTCTATTATGCCATATAGAAGCGTATTGTCTGGCTTTGTTTACCAGCGACGACGCTGTCAAGAGCAGAGCGCGGGCAGGACCAGCAGGTTCCCCGCAGGGAGCCTCACCTTCGTCAGAGACCAGCGACGACGCTGTCAAGAGCAGAGCGCGAGCAGGACCAGCAGGTTCCCCGCAGGGAGCCTCACCTTCGTCAGAGACCAGCGACGACGCTGTCAAGAGCAGAGCGCGAGCAGGACCAGCAGGTTCCCCGCAGGGAGCCTCACCTTCGTCAGAGACCAGCGACGACGCTGTCAAGAGCAGAGCGCGAGCAGGACCAGCAGGTTCCCCGCAGGGAGCCTCACCTTCGTCAGAGACCAGCGACGACGCTGTCAAGAGCAGAGCGCGCGCAGGACCAGCAGGTTCCCCGCAGGGAGCCTCACCTTCGTCAGAGACCAGCGACGACGCTGTCAAGAGCAGAGCGCGAGCAGGACCAGCAGGTTCCCCGCAGGGAGCCTCACCTTCGGTAGAGACCAGCGACGACGCTGTCAAGAGCAGAGCGCGCGCAGGACCAGCAGGTTCCCCGCAGGGAGCCTCACCTTCGTCAGAGACCAGCGACGCCGCTGTCAAGAGCAGAGCGCGCGCAGGACCAGCAGGTTCCCCGCAGGGAGCTTCACCTTCGGTAGAGACCAGCGACGCCTGGTGCTTCCATATGCTCACTCTATATTAATTTTAAGTTTTATTTTGAATTGCCCTTGACTTTGAGGGGGGAGATTTACAGTAAAGTATAAACCCAGGAAGCATAGAGCATGCTATGTCCCACCGTCACAGGAGATGCTTTTTCATCCATAGGGTTATAAACCCATGGAACCGCCTACCCGCCGAAGCCGTACATGCCAAAACTCTGCTGGGTTTTAAATTAAAAAGTGGAAAAAATCATCAGGGCCAAAGCCGGCAAACCTTTAACAATCCACCGGCTTCCTGTCCTCGTCGAGGTCACTAGTATTAGTGGCCCTCAGGTAAATTCCTTCACGTCATGGCACCTTCGTGACGTACTAGTCAGCGAGGACGCTGCCAGTAGGGGGCCCGAGCCCTCTCTGGCACAATGGTGCCATATTTTGTAGCTCATTGCATTAGCCAATCACAGTGCAGTTCACAAGCTTGTACGGAGGCCTGTTCCTTAAGTGCCTCTGTAGTCACCTATCTACATCACATTACAAAGAGAGCAGCAGCAGGTGAAGCTGTATCATGTAACACTACCACCACCTGCCAGGCGCACCAAATGTGGCGGCAAACACTCACCGTCAGTATCAGGAGTGTCAGGATCAGGGGAGCGGGAAGGCCGGGCGGGGTGCGGGGCTCGGCGGGAGGGCGTGGTGCAGGACCTGGTGCTGGACGGTGTCGAGCCCCTGGAACAGGGACGAGAAGATTCGCGGGAAGAACCACCGCTACCCTGCTGCTGCGCCTGCTGCTGCTGCTGCTGAAAAAGTCACACATGTATTAAAAGAGCAGATCAAAGACATAAGAGACAACATACCTAACTCTTCCTGACAGCTCAATCAATAAGCGCCCAACTGTATATTCCTTCCACAATCCGTCCTATGATAACATATCTAGACTAATGAGCACCAGTCCTTTCCGGCTTCTGTTCTCAAAATGACTCTGTTCAAAATCATGATTTTCTGAAGTACAAAACTGCTTTATTTAGTTTTATTTTCCAATATTTTTACAGAATTATACGATGGAAAAGAAGCTCTGGACTCTTGTGACCTAAGTCTGATCTAAGACATCAATGGGTCCGCCTGTGACATCACACATCACTGATGTACCGCCACATTGGACGGTACATACACCTTGGTGCTGATAACTAGGCTACAATACCATGCCAGCTATGTACTGTCACTTGCTATTAAGAACTGTAGTGTAGATCGCTTTTATAAATTATAGATGTTACAGGACGAGGTTGTTTTTGAGAACTGTATGTGTTTAAAATATATATCAGTGCTACTAACTTGGAGATTTTAATGCGTATTGTGTCATGATCTTGTGGTCGGGAGTTTGGAGGTATTTATAGTAAACCAGTGAGACATTTGTCCGTCCAAACTCTGTGTTATCTCCTTTCATTAATATGAATGGGACATGGAGGACTTCATTCATTCCTATGCCCAGTAAACGATCTTTGGCGGTACACTAGAGATATTAGGTATAAATAAACAATCTGGGGACACAAACAATATTTTCTTACACTTTAATTAGTCTTTACTAGTTACTAAAGACAAGTGGAGCAAATAGTTTGATGAAGAGTAAAGTGTACCAGCAGATAATATTGCAGTTATACTTGACAGTGACAGTTAATGATTAGTTCAACATGGGCTGAAAATATATAGGAGATGCTGAATGGTCGCCAAAAGACCTTCTGCAGTTTCAGTCTTATGTTTAATTAGCAATCTTTTTATTAAAAATAATCAGTCTTTGAAAATGGGGATAAATATGAAAATGGGAATATATGCAATAATTGAAAACGGGATTATATATGTATATATATATATATATATATATATATATATATATATATATATATATATATATATATATATATATATATATATATATATATATATATATATATATATATATATAATATGCATTCATTGAAAATGGACTGATTGAGGGAAGATGAAGACTGGTTGGCTAATGACGTCAGTGACCATTAGAGATGACTGTTACCGCATGTGTGCCCGAGGTTGATGGGGGGGGGGGGGATGTAGACTGCGGCCTACAGTACCCGAGGTTGATGGGGGGGGGATGTAGACTGCGGCCTACAGTACCCGAGGTTGATGGGGGGGGATGTAGACTGCGGCCTACAGTACCCGAGGTTGATGGGGGGGGATGTAGACTGCGGCCTACAGTACCCGAGGTTGATGGGGGGGGATGTAGACTGCGGCCTACAGTACCAGAGGTTGATGGGGGGGGATGTAGACTGCGGCCTACAGTACCCGAGGTTGATGGGGGGGGATGTAGACTGCGGCCTACAGTACCCGAGGTTGATGGGAGGGGATGTAGACTGCGGCCTACAGTACCAGAGGTTGATGGGGGGGGATGTAGACTGCGGCCTACAGTACCCGAGGTTGATGGGGGGGGGGATGTAGACTGCGGCCTACAGTACCCGAGGTTGATGGGGGGGATGTAGACTGCGGCCTACAGTACCAGAGGTTGATGGGGGGGGATGTAGACTGCGGCCTACAGTACCCGAGGTTGATGGGGGGGGGATGTAGACTGCAGCCTACAGTACCCGAGGTTGATGGGGGGGGGATGTAGACTGCGGCCTACAGTACCCGAGGTTGATGGGGGGGGATGTAGACTGCGGCCTACAGTACCCGAGGTTGATGGGGGGGATGTAGACTGCGGCCTACAGTACCAGAGGTTGATGGGGGGGGATGTAGACTGCGGCCTACAGTACCCGAGGTTGATGGGGGGGGGATGTAGACTGCAGCCTACAGTACCCGAGGTTGATGGGGGGATGTAGACTGCGGCCTACAGTACCCGAGGTTGATGGGGGGGGGATGTAGACTGCGGCCTACAGTACCCGAGGTTGATGGGGGGGGGATGTAGACTGCGGCCTACAGTACCCGACGTTGATGGGGGGGGATGTAGACTGCAGCCTACAGTACCCGAGGTTGATGGGGGGGGGATGTAGACTGCGACCTACAGTACCCGAGGTTGATGGGGGGGGATGTAGACTGCGGCCTACAGTACCCGAGGTTGATGGGGGGGGATGTAGACTGCGACCTACAGTACCCGAGGTTGATGGGGGGGAATGTAGACTGCAGCCTACAGTACCCGAGGTTGATGGGGGGGGATGTAGACTGCGGCCTACAGTACCCGAGGTTGATGGGGGGGGGATGTAGACTGCGGCCTACAGTACCCGAGGTTGATGGGGGGGGGATGTAGACTGCAGCCTACAGTACCCGAGGTTGATGGGGGGGGATGTAGACTGCGGCCTACAGTACCCGAGGTTGATGGGGGGGGGATGTAGACTGCGGCCTACAGTACCCGAGGTTGATGGGGGGGGGATGTAGACGGCGGCCTACAGTACCCGAGGTTGATGGGGGGGGATGTAGACTGCGGCCTACAGTACCCGAGGTTGATGGGGGGGGGATGTAGACTGCGGCCTACAGTACCCGAGGTTGATGGGGGGGGATGTAGACTGCGGCCTACAGTACCCGAGGTTGATGGGGGGGATGTAGACTGCGGCCTACAGTACCCGAGGTTGATGGGGGGGGGATGTAGACTGCGGCCTACAGTACCCGAGGTTGATGGGGGGGGAAGTAGACTGCGGCCTACAGTACCCGAGGTTGATGGGGGGGGGGGATGTAGACTGCAGCCTACAGTACCCGAGGTTGATGGGGGGGGATGTAGACTGCAGCCTACAGTACCCGAGGTTGATGGGGGGGAGATGTAGACTGCGGCCTACAGTACCCGAGGTTGATGGGGGGGGGGATGTAGACTGAGGCCTACAGTACCCGAGGTTGATGGGGGGGGATGTAGACTGCAGCCTACAGTACCCGAGGTTGATGGGGGGGGATGTAGACTGCAGCCTACAGTACCCGAGGTTGATGGGGGGGGGATTTAGACTGCGGCCTACAGTACCAGAGGTTGATGGGGGGGGATGTAGACTGCAGCCTACAGTACCCGAGGTTGATGGGGGGGATGTAGACTGCAGCCTACAGTACCCGAGGTTGATGGGGGGGGGATGTAGACTGCAGCCTACAGTACCCGAGGTTGATGGGGGGGGGATGTAGACTGCAGCCTACAGTACCAGAGGTTGATGGGGGGGGGATGTAGACTGCAGCCTACAGTACCAGAGGTTGATGGGGGGGATGTAGACTGCAGCCTACAGTACCCGAGGTTGATGGGGGGGGGGGATGTAGACTGCGGCCTGCAGTACCCGAGGTTGATGGGGGGGGGGATGTAGACTGCGGCCTACAGTACCAGAGGTTGATGGGGGGGGGGATGTAGACTGCAGCCTACAGTACCCGAGGTTGATGGGGGGGGATGTAGACTGCGGCCTGCAGTACCCGAGGTTGATGGGGGGGGGATGTAGACTGCGGCCTACAGTACCCGAGGTTGATGGGGGGGATGTAGACTGCGGCCTACAGTACCCGAGGTTGATGGGGGGGGGATGTAGACTGCGGCCTACAGTACCCGAGGTTGATGGGGGGGGGGGATGTAGACTGCGGCCAACAGTACCCGAGGGTGATGGGGGGGATGTAGACTGCGGCCAACAGTACCCGAGGTTGATGGGGGGGGATGTAGACTGCGGCCTACAGTACCCGAGGTTGATGGGGGGGGGGATGTAGACTGCGGCCTACAGTACCCGAGGTTGATGGGGGGGGATGTAGACTGCGGCCAACAGTACCCGAGGGTGATGGGGGGGATGTAGACTGCGGCCTACAGTACCCGAGGTTGATGGGGGGGGATGTAGACTGCGGCCTACAGTACCCGAGGTTGATGGGGGGGGATGTAGACTGCGGCCTACAGTACCCGAGGTTGATGGGGGGGATGTAGACTGCGGCCTACAGTACCCGAGGTTGATGGGGGGGGATGTAGACTGCGGCCTACAGTACCCGAGGTTGATGGGGGGGGATGTAGACTGCGGCCTACAGTACCCGAGGGTGATGGGGGGGGATGTAGACTGCGGCCTACAGTACCCGAGGTTGATGGGGGGGGATGTAGACTGCGGCCTACAGTACCCGAGGGTGATGGGGGGGGGATGTAGACTGCGGCCTACAGTACCAGAGGTTGATGGGGGGGGGGATGTAGACTGCGGCCTACAGTACCCGAGGGTGATGGGGGGGGGATGTAGACTGCGGCCAACAGTACCCGAGGGTGATGGGGGGGATGTAGACTGCGGCCTACAGTACCCGAGGTTGATGGGGGGGGGGATGTAGACTGCGGCCTACAGTACCCGAGGTTGATGGGGGGGGATGTAGACTGCGGCCTACAGTACCCGAGGTTGATGGGGGGGATGTAGACTGCGGCCTACAGTACCCGAGGTTGATGGGGGGGGATGTAGACTGCGGCCTACAGTACCCGAGGTTGATGGGGGGGGGGGTGTAGACTGCGGCCTACAGTACCCGAGGGTGATGGGGGGGGGATGTAGACTGCGGCCTACAGTACCCGAGGTTGATGGGGGGGGGGGGTGTAGACTGCGGCCTACAGTACCCGAGGGTGATGGGGGGGGGGATGTAGACTGCGGCCTACAGTACCAGAGGTTGATGGGGGGGGGGGGGATGTAGACTGCGGCCTACAGTACCCGAGGGTGATGGGGGGGGGGATGTAGACTGCGGCCTACAGTACCCGAGGTTGATGGGGGGGGGATGTAGACTGCGGCCTACAGTACCCGAGGGTGATGGGGGGGGATGTAGACTGCGGCCTACAGTACCAGAGGTTGATGGGGGGGGGGATGTAGACTGCGGC